ACCAGGGGCACTAAGTGCCCCAGACAACATAGCTCCTAGGATCATTAGGGCACTCAAACTCCTCCACCACGATAAGGTGACGGTTCTCCGGCACATCCCTAAGATTCTCATTGGGGTTATGGTCTGGACTCTGTGGTGACCAATCCATGGTGATCATGGTGTCTCATGCTCCCTGAACCACTCTTTCACTGTCTGAGCCTGATGAATCCTGTCATTGTCATCTTGGAATATGCCCGTGCCATCAGGGATGATGGAATAACCTGGTCATTCAGAATATTCAGATCCTACATCTAGACCTGACCAACTGCAGCAACCCCAGATCATAGCACTGACCCCACAGGCTTGTACAGTAGGCATGATGGGTGCATCACTTCATCTGCCTCTCTTCTTACCCTGATGCACCATCACTCTGCAACAGGGTCCATCTGGATTCATCAGAACAGTTTTTCATAAGGGGTTGGTCCTTTTTTAACCCAGTTTTAGTCGTTTCTCCAATCTCCTAAGATGTTTTCTCTGCTTGATGCCAATGATCTGGCCCTTCTCAAACAGACTAACATCTTTTCCATGACCACCAGATGTGTCTTTCTGCATGGTTGTTTAAGAAATGAGAAGCAGCTCATTGCACCAGATAGGGTTAAATAACTTGTTGCCAGCTGAAAGATGCAGTAATTATCCAATCGGAGGCTCCTTCCTGTTTGCTTAGTTAAATCCAGGTGACGACTTTTTTTTCCTGGACTGTTTAAAAAATGATGATAAAAGGATTTTGATGATACTAAATTAACTTTTCGTCACATCAATGTTAACATCAAATTGATTAAAATAAAGTACAGAAGCATTATCTTGTAAAACAAATAATAAATCTTGTGTTCATGGGATTACATTTGTGTGCATGCTCCAGTTGGTGTGTAAACTAATGTCATGGTGAGGACTGGCATGGTGCATTTGCCTCCCCCTGACTTCCCCACACCTCACCCCCATTAAGCTCAATTTGTTGATTTAAAATCCTGTTTCTGCAACACAGAACAACGCAGAGCAACTTTAGAACTTTGTTCTAATTAAGGTCTTAATTAAAATGTAGTTTAACTACTCACAGTACTTTTTATGGTTGAAAGGCAGGGGAAAAAGACATGAAGACTCCCAAATTTTTTTTACATGTTAGCTTAGGCCTAGTCCACACGTAGCCGGTTTTTTTTTTAAACGAATATCCGCCCCTCCAAAAACTTGCATCCACACCACCTCGTTTTAAAAAAAAAACTCTGTCCACACATACTCGGATAAATACGTTGTTAAGGACATGCCAGACCTGTAGGTGGCAGAACTTCCCCCGTTCTTAACCTCGTCCTTCGTCTGTGGTCTTCCGCAAGGAGCAGTAATTCTGCTTGCCAAAACAAACAAGCAAAAAGCGCTTGGACAATTGATGAAGCGAGCGCAGCTCTGAGGACATCCATGATGCTGGCTAGTGTAAACACAGGTCGCACACGTGATGTCAGCAATTTTTGTCGCGGAAAGTGACGTTGCGGACCTTAAAACTCCGGTTTTGTCTGTCCACACGCAGACACCCAAAACGGAGAAAACGCAGATCTTCACTTTGGCCGGAGTTTTTAAAAAGATCCGTTTTCGTGTGAAAAAACTCAGTTTTCGTGTGGATGACAGGCCAAAACGTAGAAAAATATCTAGGTTTTGGCAGATCCCCGGCTACATGTGGACAGGGCCTTAGTTTACTCTTGATTGCAAGTCTGGAGACTTGGAGAAGAAAACACACCAGACTGAAGCCCTCCAATAATGGTTAAAGTGTTTTGAAGGAGGAGAACAGAGACAACGTCAAAAGAATGTTTAGATGAAGAGGTCTCTGTCTGCATTTAGCAGCTTTTAACACACAGCGTGTGTTTTACGCCGCATCACTTCAGCACGAGTGTCTGCACATACGCGACAGTTCTTTGGGAAGACCGAAGTTGTCCGACTAACTGATCTCGACAAAAACTCATCAAAGATCTCAACTTGAGAAGTTCACGGTGATAGAGATCTGAAGGCGTCAGCTCGGGAGAACACAGGAAGCAGAGCTGGAGTAAACATGTGATGGATCGTGACCTCGAACAGCCGGGGTCAGTCCACTTATCAGCGCACCTCTGCCTCAGACAATATTGATCTTTAATTGTTGTTTTGGGGTCAGAGGTTATCTGTGATCTGCAAAGTATAGGTCACTCCTGAGTTTCAGGTGAGTTTCATGGGGTTGAGGTGGAGGAAGTAAACTTTACCGTGTGTGTCTGTTGGTGTCTGTCCAGCTGTGAATTATCAAATTCATCCCACATTTCTTTGTTATACTGGCTTTAAAACACTGAAAAAGTGATTAACTCAGTCTTAAAGCTTATAAACATTTCACAAAAGCATCTCAAAATTCATTTTTTTCTTTTTAGGATGCGTCCTAAATTGCCTCCAGGCTCAGAGCCCAGTCTGTCAGTACAGTCAGACCCTGCTGGTTTATCTGTGAGAGAACTTCCGTCACTCTGATCCTGAGCCAGAACTCACCGATCTGTACTCTAAGCACCAACGTCTCACTATTCCTATTCAAGCGTAAAGGAAGGAAGGATGTCAGGAGAAAAGGTGGCGGAGCCGTATTCTATGACTCTTTTGCATGTTTTTTTTTTTTTTTTTTTTTTTGCCTTTTCCCCCCAGTAGGACATCTGTTTCCTGTCTGCAACATGACACCAGTGCCAGACTGGGCTCTACTACACTTGAGGTGTATGCGTGCTTTTGTGGGGTTTATGGTTAGCTGCTGCGCTAATGCACATAGTCATTTATGTTGGTATAAAGTGGACCATGTGGTTGAATCTTATTCAAATATGATATAACGGTCTGATCGCCCAAATCCTTTGGGAATTTCTAACTTCTACTTTGATAAATTTTGTAGAGTAATTTTTTGTACAAGGTGCAGTTTTTTTTAAATGAATGTATAACTGCACTTTAGTAAAACTGCTGTTTAGGTAAAGTGAGCCATTTCTGTACAACTGGGTGAAAAAAGCAATCTTAAATTGTTCCTAACAAATGGAGAGTCACAAAATCTACTTGAGCTTTTTAAAAAAGAGAAAATATTTGATAAACTATTATTTAGAATTGTTCTAATGCTTTTGGAGTTAGACAAAAATACACAAAAGAACTATGTAAATCCATACTAAAGTATACTTTTTTGTGTGCAAAACTTATGTAATTATTGCAGCCCATAGCTGGAGTTAGCTACCAGGATATTACATATGTCTTTAAAACATCTCATTTAAACACTTTTGTAAGATTTAGCTCCTTAAATAATCGTGAACTGTATATTTCTGCTCAAAATATTATTCCACTTCCTTTTCTCGTACAGGTAAATACACTCACCTAAAGGATTACAGGTGCTGGCCAGTAAATTAGAATATCATCAAAAGGTTGAAAATATTTCAGTAATTCCATTCAAAACGTGAAACTTGTACATTATATTCATGCAATGCACACAGACCAATGTATTTCCGATGTTTATCACGTTTAATTTTGATATTTATAGGTGACAACCAATGAAAACATCAAATCTGGTATCACAGAAAATTAGAATATTCTAAAGGCCAATGAAAAAATGTTTGTTTCTCTAATGTTGGCCAACTGAAAAGAATGAACATGAAAAGAATGTGCATGTATAGCACTCAATACTTAGTCGGGGCTCCTTTTGCCTCAATAACTGCAGTAATGCGGCGTGGCATGGACTCGATCAGTCTGTGGCACTGCTCAGGTGTTATGAGAGCCCAGGTTGCTCTGATAGTCGTCTTCAGCTCCTCTGCATTGTTGGGTCTAGCGTATTGCATCCTCCGCTTCACAATACCCCATAGATTTTCTATGGGGTTAAGGTCAGGCGAGTTTGCTGGCCAATCAAGGACAGGGATACCATGGTCCTTGAACCAGGTGCTGGTGGTTTTGGCACTGTGTGCAGGTGCCAAGTCCTGTTGAAAGGTGAAGTCTGCATCCCCATAAAGTTGGTCAGCAGCAGGAAGCATGAAGTGCTCTAAAACTTCCTGGTAGACGGCTGCATTGACCCTGGACCTCAGGAAACAGAGTGGGCCAACACCGGCAGATGACATGGCACCCCACACCATCACTGACGGTGGAAACTTTACACTGGACCTCATGCAACGTGGATTCTGTGCTTCTCCGCTCTTCCTCCAGACTCTGGGTCCTTGATTTCCAAAGGAAATGCAGAACTTGCTTTCATCAGAAAACATAACTTTGGACCACTCAGCATCAGTCCAGTCCTTTTTGTCCTTGGCCCAGGCGAGACGCTTCTTGCGCTGTTTCTTGTTCAAGAGTGGCTTGACACACGGAATAAGACACCTGAATCCCATGTCTTTCATGAGTCTCCTCGTGGTGGTTCTTGAAGCGCTGACTCCAGCTGCAGTCCACTCTTTGTTGATCTCCCCCACATTTTTGAATGGGTTTGTCGTCACAATTCTCTGCAGGGTGCGGTTATCCCTAGAGCTTGTACACTTTTTTCTACCACATTTTTTCCGTCCCTTCGCCTGTCTGTTAATGTGCTTGGACACAGAGCTCTGCGAACAGCCAGCTTCTTTAGCAATCACCTTTTGTGTCTTGCCCTCCTTGTGCAAGGTGTCAATGATTGTCTTTTGGACAGCTGTTAAGTCAGAAGTCTTCCCCATGATTGTGGTGCCTTCAAAACAAGACTGAGGGACCTTTTAAAGGCCTTTGCAGGTGTTTTGAGTAAATCAGCTGATTAGAGTGGCAGCAGGTGTCTTCTATATTCAGCCTTTTCAGAATATTCTAATTTTTTGAGATACGAAATTTGGAGTTTTCATTAGTTGTCACTTATGAATATCAAATTTAAATGTAATGAACATTGGAAATACATTGGTCTGTGTGCATTGCATGAATATAATGTACAAGTTTCACGTTTTGAATGGAATTACTGAAATATTTTCAACCTTTTGATGATATTCTAATTTACTGGCCAGCACCTGTATTAGGAACACCATGCAAATACAGTGTTTGACCCACTTTCGCCTTCAGAACTGCCTTAATTCTTCGTGGCACTGATTCAACAAGCTGCTGAAAGCATTCTTTAGAAATGTTGGCCCATATTGATAAGATAGCATCTTGCAGTTGATGGAGATGTGTGGGATGTACATCCAGGGCACAAAGCTCCCGTTCCACCACATCCCAAAGATGCTCTATCGGGTTGAGATCTGGTGACTATGGGGGCCGTTGTAGTACAGTGAACTCATCTTCATGTTCAAGAAACCAATTTGAAATGATTGGAGCTTTATGACATGGTGCATTATCCTGCTGGAAGTAGCCATCAGAGGATGGGTGCATGGTGGTCATGAAGGGATGGACATGGTCAGAAACAATGCTCAGGTAGCCCGTGGCATTTAAACCATGCCAAATTGGCACTGAGGGGCCTAAAGCGTGCCAAGAAAACATCCCCCACACCATAACACCACCACCACCTTCATGGATGGATCCATGTTCTCATTCTGTTTACGCCAAATTCTGACTCTACCGTTTGAATATCTCAACAGAAATCGAGACTCATCAGACCAGGCAACATTTTCCAGTCTTCAACTGTCCAATTTGGTGAGCTTGTGCAAATTGTAGCCTCTTTTTCCTATTTGTAGTGGAGATGAGTGGTATCCGGTGGGGTCTTCTGCTGTTGTAGCCCATCCTCCTCAAGGTTGTGCGTGTCGTGGCTTCACAAGTGCTTTGCTGCATTCCTCGGTTGTAACGAGTGGTTATCTCAGTCAAAGTTGCTCTTCTATCAGCTTGAATCAGTCGGCCCATTCTCCTCTGACCTCTAGCATCAACAAGGCATTTTCGCCCACAGGACTGCCGCATATTGGGTGTTTTTCCCTTTTCACACCATTCTTTGTAAACTCCAAAAACATCTCTGTGAATGCATGTGCGTATCTCCCTTGTGGAGCGGACGGAGAAGTATAAATCAGGCGTAATGCTGTGACACAAACAATGAGAATACTTCAGAAACTGAAGAAGATACTCATCTTGGCTTTTCTGTCTTTAAAGCCTTGAACAATTCTTGATTAGATGTCAATTCCATCTGAGGAGTGGAGAAATATCTGGATCAGACACCTGAGGGACGTAGGGAGTGCATAGCAGCAAGGAAACCTTCATGAAACATGAAATATAGTATTTATTTTGTAGATGTGACTGCTTTAACTCTCTAAGCAGAGGAAACATTATTCAGTTCCTGGTCCACTTTCTCTGGTGTCATTTAGACATCATGTATAAAAATGATTGTTGTTCATTCAGAAAGATCTAAATTAAGGCAGTTTTTCTTGTGTTGGCAACACAGTCTAGCAACACAACGCGGTTATGTCACTAAAAAAAGAAGATGGTTAAATGCAGTTAAAATATTGTGAGTCAAATAAATAAGAAGTACTTTAATTTTGAGGATCAAAGAACATTTACCTCATAAAACGGGTTGATGGATTTCTGGGTGGTCCTCCACATTAAGGTGCTTTTATTCTGAGCACTGGTTTCTCATAACTCACATTTGTGAGCTTCGTTCTAAAAATAGGTTGTAGTTTTTAAAACTGGTATAGTTACTTTTAAAGATGTTAAACACTCATTTAGTCAGTACATTTGCAGTGATCTAGTAGGAATGAATGCCTTGTAAGTCGTACTCTGGGGAAGAAAAACATTGGTGCACCATTTCCAGGAACTAGAAGTGACCCACATCACAGCTGAGCCCAGACGGCGGGTTTTAGGGTCGTATTTCCTGATGTTTGCACATTTTTCCTCGGACTGGATAACAGTAATGCGACTCTACCGCTATGTTTTAGCTCCACAAATGGCACAAGCCTAGAGGAGTTCTGCCGTGTGGTGAAGTTGCTAATGCTAACGATTACTTCTGCTAGTTGAGATATTCTCCGCTGTTTGCTGGACACTAAACCAACTACAGCCTTCCACGCTGTGAGTCAAGATGGGTGAGCTCATGAATGTTTGGTGACAGTGTGACGCAGATCTGTCTGGATTTTCAAATCCTAGAGTTTCACCGTTTTAGAATCCACATTAATTTTGGGACTGGTCCTGAAGATATCATCACCCTGAGGGAAAGCCGAGTTAATTACCCCCCACTCTTACTTCCTGTCCTCCTGCCGCTATGAGGTGGTAATGTGACTCAGAGTTACAGAGTCAAGTGTTGTATAGGCCTGCCTTCTTTCAAATCGGCACAATGCCCTGTGGGAAAATAAAGCCTTACAAGGGACACACTTCTGAAAACGACAAAGTCCACATTCTGGACAAAGAAGATAGATGGTTTGAGAGAGGAGTAAATGAAGCTGTCTATGACTACGTTTACATGCAGCCAATATCCGGGTTATGATCGGGTTAAGGTCGGTATTCGGGTTTCTGAGTTGATCAGAATAACCCGTTTACAAGCATAAATAGAAAGAGTTACCTCTAACTTGCATAACCCGATTTAAATGCGGACGTTGGGGTAGCGTCAGGACGTATGGACTACGTCCAGATGCAATATGCATCATTTCCGGTTCTTCCTGTTCCGGTATCCGTGAAAACAACAACGTGTTTCCCAGTTCGGAAGAGATAGCGACCGCGTTTGTTAGCGCTTTAGTTTCCTCGTCACTCCGAAAGTGTGGTGCTGTGCTGCGACTCGCCATGTTGCTCCCAACTTGTTGTTTACTTCCGGTGTTCTGGCGCATACAAGACGTCTCGCTACTCAAAAGACCAAGATTCCTTGCGAACAGAGCATGCGCAGAACACACGCTTTGATGGGGATATCCCGGTATGCGTTTACACAACCAAACATTCGGGTTAGAAAAGGGTTACCCCAGGTGTAGTAACCGGGTTTTAAAAACCCGGTTATGAGCATATCCGAGTTTCTGGCGGTGTTTACATGGACCTGCGGAACTGGGTTATTGTGAATATTCGAGTTTTAAAAGGGTTACTGGCTGCATGTAAACGCACTGTATGTCAAACGTGAAAACCCGACTTTAAATAGGGGAGGGGGGGCTTGAATTTCACCTTTCCAGTACCTATAATGCAGCTTTGAATCTCATTACTAAGCAGTTTCAGTCGAGGTCACACCTTCCTGCATCTAATCAACACAACGACTCCCTCTCAATAGAGGCCAACGACTCATCAGGGGATGGAGAGGAGGGGTACTCCGAGTAGTTTCTGCTCGTTAAATAACAGACAGCTACAGCTGATAAGCTTCACTTTCCCATATTCTAGTTAGAATGGATAAAGCTCCTTGGATGAGAGTCTTCAAGAAACCAAAGAAGTCCAGTTGCCTTCATTTGAAACCTTTGGATTACTATGACCTGGATGACTGAGAACCTTCACCAGCATACAGCCTTGTGTTTTTAAAGGCCTGTGAGCTACATCTTCTGTTCAAGGGCTTCTGTTGCTGTTAGAAACCAGAATGATGGAATAAAAAGAACGAACCAGAAGAAAAACGTAAGCAGGATGATGATGATGATGATTTGCTGCTGGCTCTTTATGTTATGGAAGATAAGTTGTGTTTTAATGAGCTGCTTATGATTTATCTTTTTATTATTACCAGGCTCTTTAGAGGATTTGTATTACCTTGAAATGATTGTACTGAGGCTATTATTTGATAATTAGAATCATTCCCAAAAACAGAACGAACTTATTAATATATTAAAATATGAAACAGTTGCAAAGTATCTCTCTAAATATGCCTGACTAACTGGTTGTGTGGTCCCAAGGACCAGAAATAATGGCTGTACCTTCCCGCTGTGCTGTGCTTCATTGGGTTTGCAAAATGGTCCAGTGGCTGAACGCAAATTGAGTTATTGTCCAACTGGGGATAGCTACAAAGTGTGTGTCCTCCGTGATTTAGACAAATAAATGATTTTATTTTTACAACCTTTGTCCTTTACTTCACTCTTCTACTTAATGAGTGACAGAGCTGTAAAAAAATAATCTTGTTGGTGGTTCTGAACCACCTAAAGTACAGTCCAGCATGTGAGTCGTGAGTCTTTGTTTCATTTCCTAATCAGAAGCAGCAACACGTGCCGGTTCTGTTAAGCATCTGGACCTTCAGTCGTAGCAGCAGGTGTTTATTTTTGAGACTGTTGTAAAAGTGTCAGTTGCTGCCTTTTGTGTCTGGCACTTTTCTCCCGGCTGCTCTGTCTTCCTGCTCTCCTAACCCTCGAGGACATGCTTCTGCATCTGTTGTGGCTCAAGTCTGCACACACAAGGGGTGAATCGGGATATACAGTACAGGCGGCTAACCAGACAGAAATTCTCCACAGAGAGTGAAGTGGAAATACCCCAGTTTGGATCCTTACCTTCAACTGTTGACCCAAAATGTGCTCTGAAGACGGTATATCCTTTGCACTTGTGTGTATTTGTGTAAGAAACTCTTGCTGGCCCCAAATCCCGACTGGATATAGGAAATGTTTATAGCTGTCTTAGCTGTCCTCTCTTTCGCTTGATCACAAACAGCTGCTGCAGGACACAATGGTACCACCTGTTTTGAAGTCTAACTTGGGATCTGGTTCTAATAATAGCTGATAGAATGTATTTAAACCACTCTGCTGGGGGGAGGATCACAATGGGGGTTTGGACTCCGTTGGAGAAGCAGAAAGTGTCTGTGGCTTTGGTTGCTTTTAGTTCTGGTTTAGTTTGGTTTATTCTTTAGTTTTGCCATTATTTTTTCTCGGTTTGGTTGTTCACCATATTCACTGTGTGCTTGTGAGTCTGTTACGCCAGTTTGTTTTCGTCCCAGTGACTCATCTAATACTAGTTTACCAATTACCAATAGTATGTCCTTCAGATAGAATACTCTCATTGTTTTCTCTCTGTTTTGTAAGTTCATTGTTTTTGTTTCTGTTGTGCAGGTTTTAGCAAACATATCTCATAACCAGCTGTACTGGTCATTAGTGAACATAAGGAACTGGCTAGCTCTCATAATTAACCTAAATCAAGCCAGCCTTCGAGTAACACAGAGCAGTTTCCTGCTCCTCTGCCCTACTGGTTGAAAGTGGAATTACAACTGTTGTTAGAAAAACCTGCAGCAGCCTTCTGTAGCTAGCGCTAACAACAAGCTAACACTACCATGAGCCAACTAATACTAAAATAAACCACAAAGTCAAAAGTTCCACACCGATGGTCAAAAATATTATTACTCACAAGTCCAGTAGCAACAAAGCCAGGTCACCATCAGTCCGTGGTTTTGTAAACTCCTTTAGCTTCCTCAAGCTAGTGTAGGCCACACCTATGTTCACTCTGGTTTTAGCTCATTCTTCTTCTTCATCTTCTTCTTTGTCTTGACGAACTGAAAAAGCTAACTGCTAGCATAAAACTATTTATTGTTACTTTAAATGACCGTAGAAACCATTAAAATGGTAAACATTCAGTCAGTTTTACAGATGTTGAGCAATGAATTATTGTGCATGTCGCTAAAGCTAAGTGCTAACAGATCATATAATCCTTACACCATTTCATGAAATCAGCATTACATTCTTATTTCACACTGGAAGCATCAGCAGAGCTGGACATTTTACTGGCGAGCTTGATTGTGGTCCAGTACACGCCGGGAAAGTCTTGGCCGCAGAACAATTTCCTCACTGTGCTCCTCAAAATCCCTCGAGACCTCAAAGTTCACAGTTTGTTTAAGCCACCCGCCATTGAACCAAAAAGAAGGAAATGATATCACGGTTTGATGTCATGTATGATGTTCTTTCTCTCCACTGCCAGGATTAAAGCCATGAAAAACACACTTTTGCACTTCTGCAACGATGCAGGGAGTAAATAAGCCATCATGTCACACATATTGACTTAATCTACATAGATATAAAATTGCATTGCTGTAATAGTCTTTTATTTTGAAAATTACCTGGGGTTTTATGCAGGAACAGTGTGCGATTTCCTGTCTAGCCTTATGTTAACTGTAGAAATTGACGTGACCCAGAAGCAGCATGCGGCGTGCCGCTCCTGAGATGTGCCTGAAAATTGCCGCATTGCGGCTGGTTTGAAACACCCCTATAATGGATTCTATTTGACGCAGTGATGTTCCACTGCCATTCCACACCGCTGATGCTAAGCGGTTACCGATATTTGATCAAAATAGCTATAACTCCATCATGCTTCAACACAAGATGCTTTTTGATTGACATTCCGAAATGAAAGGAGTGCTTTGAATGAACAGATTTGGAGATTTGGGCTCATTGCATCTCCAGTGTCTTTTGGACGTCTAAACAAAATTTAAACTTCCTAAAACTTGTTCCTCTTCAAAAACTCACTTCTTGTGACCTTTTTTGATAGTTTTTGCACCATTCATCAGACAAAAAATAAATCAGAAAACCTCTTTGCAGTAAATTATCTACTTGCAAAATGCGTATTTCACAAAGCTTGTACAAACTCAAGCTCAAGTCAAAATGCTTTATGCATTTCTAATGATAAGAGTGATGACAGACTCGGGCTGACCCAGACCTTGCTATCATTATCTCTCTCCAGAACTGGCTGCTGATATGACCCAGCACTCTGTCAACACACAGTAAAAAAGAAAAATATGCTTTGCTTTCTGATTCCCAGGCAATCTCCCCTACTGCTTTTTCAGCTCGGCGATCCTTACGTTACCATCAGTTCTCTCTCTCTGTTGAATGCAGTGAGGTATTGCTTAGTCTGAAAAGCTGTTGGTTGTAATCCAGTCTCACCCGTGGTTTCTATAATCACCTGACAATGACAGAGCACAGGAGCTCCTTTGATAGATAGTTTACACGTGAGACAGGTGGTAGTGTTTAGCTATGATAAAGAATAGAGTATGCCTTGTATTAAATCATAGAGCACATAATAACTCACAGATGCTGAAAACATCTGCTATCTAAAGCTGTGTTCTTCTTTGTTTGGAACAACTTGTGATTTTATTCAATTTTTCTCATGTTTACATAAAAGCCAGAGTACGATAGATAAACCAGACATATGGCCAAGGTTAAATTATCACAATGTCTGATCTTTGCTCTGTCTTGCTTTTGATTTCTTAGCTCATAACAGGTCATTTTAAGTCGAACTACACAACAAAAGTCTCACAGTCTGTGGCTTTAATAATCCTTTAGATTAGAAACATTGGAAAAAGGACATACAGCAGGTAGGTATGTATTCATTTCACCACCACACTATCCTTATTCCAACTCTGTTAGTGCTTAACTCCATCAAAGACATCCATTCATCAGAGTAGATGCTTTCATTGGTGAATTGATCTGATTCTTTGTGTAGTGGAGGGAAATGGGGAATGGTTTAGGTAATTAGTTATATTTAGGACTGCATAATGAAATCTTGAAATATTTCTTTTTTTCTTAAAAATGGGTCATATTTTTGTTCTCGGTTGATTGAGCAAGTTTAAGTTCCTAATTTATGGCCCTACGCCTATTTCACACTGGAAGCATCAGCGGCGTGGTACGTTGTTGCTTCAGACAGGATCAGTTATAGTCTATGGGGGTGTTTCAAACCAGCTGCAATGCAGCAACTTGCAGGTGTGTCCCAGATGCGGCTTGCCGCGCAGCTAAGGTTGTGATCAGATTGTATTTTTGTTGCGTGCCGCTTCTTCGACACATCAATTTCCACAGTTAGCATAGTGCTAGACAGGAAATCACACACGGATGTAGTCTAAAAGCCGCTGTAATTTTCTAAATGAAAGACTAGTACAGCGTTGCAGTTTCATATCTATGTAGATTACGTCTATACGTGTGACCTAACGGCTTATTTACTCTCCACATTGTTTGAGAAGTGCAGCGGTGTGTTTTCATGGCTTTAATCCTGGCAGTGGAGAGGAACAACATCATAAATGACGTCAAACAGTGATATCTGGGGTGGCGGTGGCACAGGAGTGCTCGCCCCGTAATGATAAGGTTGCAGGTTCGAGCCCCGCTCAGTTTGTCGCTATCATCGTCTCCTTGGGCAAGACACTTAACCCCCCTTGCCTGCTGGTGGTGGCCGGAGGGATCGGTGGCGCCAGTGCTCGACAGCTTCGCCTCCGTCAGTGCGCCCCAGGGCAGCTGTTGCGACATCGTCGCTTCTCCCCACCAGGGTGTGAATGTGTGTGTTTGAATGACTGGTTGTGTTGTAAAGCGCCTTAGAGTGTTCCAGGACTCTCGAAGGGGCTATATCAAATACAGGCCATTTACCATATCAAACGTGATTCCTTTGTTTTGGTTTAATGGCGGATGGCATAAACAAACCGTGATCTTCGAAGTCATGAGGGATTTTGTGATCTTGCGAGTGCGGCAAAGACCACAGTGAGGAAGTCGTAATGGACCGCACGGATCGTGTGACTTGATAAATGTGACTTGTAGCGTAAAAGTAGTTGTATGCACCAAGATACTGTTCTGGGTTGCTGATCTCAGAAAGCTACATAAGACAAAAGGTCCATTTTGAATCCAGATCGATCTGATTCAGTCCGATACAATCAAGCAAAGACAAAAAGTCATAATTATGTTTTGATCAGTGCATCATGCATTTCCCACATTCCAATGGACTCAAATGTTTCCAAGTGTTGATTTTATTAACTGCCTTGCTTTGACCAGTTGTAGCCTTCTGCTAAAGATAACACCATTGTGTAGAGCGAGCTTGACATGCATCAGAATGTTCTTGTCGAATGCTGCTGCCTTTATGTCTGATTAGGTCCTTAAGCTCTCTGTTCCTTCTGTTCTCCATATCAGCGACAACAAAAGACTTGGGTCTGACTGTTTACAGGAGATACAGTGACCTGAGCAGCTGCATGTCCCATTGAACGCCCTGCATCCTGTGACCTCATGACACTGGCACGAAGAAGTGAGTGTAGGCGGGTGGCTTGGTTTGATGATTCAGCGTCGAGCACATCATTGTTGTCCCGTTGTTGAACATCAGATAAGGATGAGCTGTGCTGATTTCAGCAGTGGACCGGCGTCTCCCACTTCCGGCCAGTAAAGACGTAACTGTACTGTCATTAGAGCATTAGAGCTTGTGTAGCTAACATCTGTGTGAGGTCTGAATTCCAACTGAGTGTCCTTCTCACTGATTGCTATGACCTAAATTGTCAACAGCTGCATCTATTTCTGTCACTTCATGTATATGAATGATACCAACTGTGTTTTCATAGACATGTGTATGGAGAGGATTTGGTATAAACAGCTGGGGTTTCAATGATGGCTGTGGTATAGTTAAGAGTGATTCCTAGTCTAGGGAGTCTATACTTATGTGCATTCATTTGCATTTGTGGGTGTCTCACAAAATGAGATGTGTGTTATCCTTTGAAATGGGAGATGTATTCAAAAGGTTGCTGCTAAATTTAGGGTAGAGGGCTGAATAAGGCAAGGATAGGGGTTTTCTCATCGAGTGCATTTC